CACTGAACACAAAAAGCTGGAGAGTAAGATTGATGCTCTTAGCACCTTGGTTTCACAACTGGCTGCAAATCAAAAATCAGCTCCACCACCAATAAAAGTATGTGGCATCTGCACTTCAATGAATAATCCAACAGATGCTTGTCCCTCCTTGCAAGACTCTTCTACAGGCCCTGATGCCCCACAAGCCTATGCTGCAAATATCTACAATAACAGACCAGCGCAACAACAGCAGCAAAGTTATGACCTCTCCAATAATAGGTACAATCCAGGTTGGAGAAATCATCCTAATCACAAATGGTCTAACCAGCAGCAGCAGCAACAACAACAACAGTACCAACAGCCATCCCCTCCCTTCCAAAACAATGCTGGTCCTAGCAGATATGTACCTCCTCCTATCCAACAGCAGCAACAGAGACAACACGAAGCTCCTGCATCACCAGCTCCTCATCCTTCTACTTCTGAGCCTTCATTAGAGGAGCTGGTCAGGCAGATGACTCTGCAAAACATGCAATTCTAGCAAGAGACAAGAGCTTCCATTCAGAGTTTGACAAATCAAATGGGTCAGATGGCTACTCAGCTGGATCAGGTACAGTCTCAAAATTCAAACAAGTTGCCTTCACAGACTGTGCAGAATCCGAAAAATGTGAGTGCCATGACATTGAGGTCTGGCAAACAAATTGACATACCAGCACCACCTACATCTGTTGTACCCCCACCTGAGCCTACAGTTGAGAAAGAGGGCCATACAGGTAGTAGCAAAAATTTTCCTACAGGTGGACCTTCTTCCAGTGCACATAGTGATGATCTACATCAGCCTCCTATCCTTCTTCCATTTCCACCAAAATCAATTCCAAGAAAAAAGATGGAAGAGGTGGACAAGGAGATCTTGGAGACTTTTAGGAAGGTGGAGGTGAACATACCTTTGCTGGATGCCATCAAGCAAATTCCCAGATATGCTAAGTTCCTGAAAGACTTGTGCACCCACAAGAGGAAGCTGAAGGGCAATGAGTGAATCAGCATGGGCAGAAACGTCTTAGCACTCATAGGTAAATCTATTCCACATATTCCTGAAAAGTGT